TATAATCAATGTAATGAAACAAGTTATATGAATTGTTGAATGTGAAACTGATGATGTGCCCTGTAAACTTTCACTCAATCCACAATAAAAATCTTAAATTAAAAAAAAAAAAAAACCTTTGTGAAAATCATGCCATTAAGTAAGTGAAAAGGAAACATACAGAATATGAGAAAATATCTGCAAATCATATATTTGATAAATATTCAAGAAGTAAATGATATTTATACTATAAAAGAATGCTTACAACATAATAATAGATATATACCAATTTAAAACGCACAAAGGATTTGAACAGGTATTTCTCCAAAGAAGATATCCAAATAACCAACATGCCCATGAAAAAATGTTCAATATGATTAGCCATTTGTTGTTGTTAAGTGCTATCGAGTTAATTCTGACTCACAGTGACCCTAAAAAGGGTTTGCAAGGCTTTAAATCTTTGTGGATGCAGAAAGCTTTCTCCCACAGAGTGCTGGTGGGCTTGAACTGTCAACCTGTGGTCTGCAGTCCAGTGCTTACTGTATGGAACCACCATGATCCCATGATTAGCTATTAGGGAAATGAAAATCAAAACCAATATGAGATACCACTTCATACCTGCTAGGAGATCTAAAATAAAACAGACAAAACAAGTGTTGAAGAAGATGTAAGCAATCAGAGCCCTCCCATTGCTGGTGATGCAGTGTGAAAAACAGTTTGCAAATGCCTCTAAATGCAAACACAGGGTTACCATATTACCCAACAAGTTTACCTCTAGGTGTACACCCAAGTGGAAAACATATGTTCACATAAAGACTTGTAACAAATGTTCACAGAGGCATTACTCATGACAGTCAAAAGAGACAACCCAAACACCATCAACTGATACAAAACGTGGTATATCCACACAGGCTGGCTGATTGACTGTTGTTAATTCCAACTCATAGAGACCCTGTATAGGATTTCCAAGGCTGAAAATCTTCACAGAAGCAGAAAACTCATCTTTCTTCTGTAGAACAACTGAAGGATTCAAACTGCTGACCTTGTGGTTAGCAGCCAAACACAACCCATTAAGCCATCAGGGCTCCTTGGTATATCCACAGAGTGGAATATTATTTAGCAATGGAAAGAAATGACAAACTGATTGATACATTCTCCATCATGGATAAATCTTTAAAAACACCATGCTAAATGAAAGAAGCCATCCACAAAAGACTATATGATCCCCTTTATATGAAATGTCCAGAATAGGTAAATCTATGGAGATAGATAGTAGATGAGTAGATGCCAAGGGCTGAGAGGGTTGGGCAGAAATGGAGGTTTCTTGTTGTTGTTGTTAGGTATCTTGAGTCAGTTCCAACTCTTAGCAAAGTTATGGGTAACATAACAGAACACTGCCCAGTCCTATGCCATCCTCAGATTTGTTATGTTTGAGCCCATTGTTGCTGCCACTATCTCTTTGGGGGTGTTTTTCTTTTGATGACCCTCCACTTTTCCAAGCATGATGTCCTCGAAGGACTGGTCCCTTTTGACAACATGTTCAAAGTATCAGAGATGAAGTTTTACCATCCTCACTTCTGAGGAACCTTCTGGCTGTACTTCAAGGCAGATTTGTTTGTTCTTCTGACAGACCCTGTTACTTTCAATATTCTCCAACACCATAACCCAAATGCATCGAATTGTCTAGTGTTTCTTATTTTGTTGTTGTTAGGTGCCATCGAGTTGGTACTGACCCATAGTGACCTTATGTACAGCAGAATTTAACACTGCCCAATCCTGG